TTTGCAGTACTGCGACCTTACTTCTGCACTGCTGCTGGCGGTGGTGCTGCCTTCAGAGCCGGGCAGCTGGAGAGCGGCGGCTGCTGGCTGGGATCCCAGCTCTGAAGGCAGAGCCACTGCCAGCAGCAGCACAGAAGTAAGTATGCCATGGTATGGTATTGCCACCCTTACTTCTGTGCTGCTGCCTGCAGAGCTGGGCCCTCAGTCAGCAGCCGCCACTCTCCAGCCCCGCAGCTCTGAAGGGAGCAGCGCAGAAGTAAGGGTGGCAATACCATGACCCCCCTAAAATAACCTTGTGACCCCCCTGCAACTCCCTTTTGGATCAGGACCCCTACTTTGAGAAACTATGGTCTCCCCTGTGAAATCTGTATAGTATAGGGTAAAAGCCCACAAAACACCAGATTTCACGATCCGTGTCACGTTGTTCAAGGCTGTGAATTTGGTAGGGCCTGCACTGGATTGATGACTCAACCTCTGAAAAGTAAGTATATAAGGGGGCCTTTTTGTTTGGGCTAATTCCATCTGTCTCCTTTCTGCACCTTTTCCCATCACATTGGTTGTCCTGGGGGTATTGTGACATATTAGGAACCGTCACTCACTTTTCACAGCTGAGCGCACACTTCGGGGAAACTCGTGGGCCCAGTCATCACAGCAGGTCCCAGCAGGGCCTCTCATTTCTGGTAGGCTGGGGTGAGTGGGATCCAGCACGATGGATAACCAATAGCAGGGTGCGCTGGGAAGATGCTGTTCGCTGCCCCACACCTGGCTAGCTGGGTAACCCCACTTCTGGAGCAATGTGATGGTGCTCATGGGAACATCCTTTTCTCCACCAGCTAATCCTTTCCCTGCAGTTCAGTGCCCGGTCTCCACACGCACATGCAATGCACACTCTGCTTCTTCACAGCTGTCACTTGAATGCAGGGGTGTCCCCATTACGTAACTCTTTTCTTCCTAGAATTTTCTGAAAAATACTGATGTGCAGTATTGGATTGGATTCAGGAAAGATGGAAATAAGGAACCGCAGTGGGTTGATGAGTCGCCCTTTAAACCGTAAGTACAATATTTATTTCTTCAGAGAGATGCTCCATTTGCTAACCAGTGGCACCATCCAAAAGAAACAGGCACGTTAGTAACTGTAGCTAAAGCCACTGACTAAAGTGCTGGAAGGGTTAGAAGTGGCTTCCCCGTAATGGAACCAACTGGCCGGCAGCTCCTCACGTGGACCCTTTGCCAGAGGGGAATATTTAAAGCAACACCGTGTACTCGAAAGCTGCCAAATAACGAGTTTCAAGCAGTTCCAAGTCCTCTGAGTAAATTCTTTACCCGTAGTGCCCAAGAGTAAGTCAGGTGATCTACTGGGAGGCCAAGGGGCAAAACCACAGAACAAATGAGTGTAAAACACGATCCAGATGTCAGGACCGTACTGAGCGGCGCTGGCAGTGACGTGAAAAGGAGACATTTCTTAATTGTCTCTGACCCAATGCTGGGAATCTGGGTAACAAGCCAGAGGAATTGGAAATTCTCATTGATGAGAAGAAATTCGGTATAATTGTCATCACTGAGGCCTAGCGGGATGAGTCGCAGGACGGGGATGTTAAACTCACTGGTTACAGCCTCTTTAGGAAGGTTTGGGGGGGGCACTCTGCATTACAGGCAGCATCACCCATTTTAGAGGTATTGCTAACTCAGAAGTGCAGGATCATGCCTATGGATGAATGTGCTAACAAAGCCCAGTAGGTGTACTGGTGGGTCTGTTACAGACACCAAATCAAACCAGAGAACAGAATGGGATACTGTGACGTTTCCCTGGTGTTATCTGGACCAGTGATCTGCTAGGTGACTCCAATCCCAGACTCTGGGAGCCAGCCTGACCCTGCTCTGCTGTGAGAACCCCCACTCCTGGGCTGTTCACACACAGCCTCTGACATGTTAGCTGCTCCTTGGATTGTACAACCAAACGACACCAGCCAATATCTCCAGTCCCAGACACAACCCTAGGAACCTCCGTCTTGCAGTGTCCAGCTTGTTGGACGCTGCAAGGTTATATGAGTTCATCAGTGTAACAAAGAAATTGATATGCTCCAGACTTGTTATCCCAAGGGGAGTCTCGGATGTGCTTCAAACCAAACGCACTGCTTCAGGTAGAACAAACAAACACATTTATTAACTACAAAGACAGATTTTAAGTGATTATAAGTCAAAGCACAACAAGTCAGATTTGGTCAGATGAAATACAAGCAAAACGCATTCTAAGCTGATCTTAACACTTTCAATGCCCTTACAAACTTAGATGCTTCTCACCACAGGCTGGCTGGTTGCCCTTCAGCCAGGCTCTCCCCTTTGATCAGCGCTTCAGTCGCTTGGTGTGATGTCTGTAGATGGAGGTGGAAGAGAGAGTGAGGATAGCAAACGTCTCTTTTTTATCATGTTCTGTCTTCCCTCTTGGCTTTGCCCCCCCCCCCACTTCAGCGTCAGGTGAGCATTACCTCATCGCAGTCCCAATCTGACCAAAGGATGCGGGGTGACTTACTGGAGAGTCTAACAGATCCTTTGTTGCTGCCTAGGCCAGCGTCATTTGTTCCTGTGAGGCTGGGCTGGGTTTGTCCCATACCTGCCCTGATTAGGTGTGAACTGCCCCTCTGCTCCTGGAGAGTTTTGCCTGGGCTTGTTTTAAGCCATGAGAACACATTTTCAGCCTCATAACTATAGACATGAAATTACAACCTGTGACATCACTGTAACAACACTGCTCAGTGCATCATGAGCCTTCCGAAGACACCCAACGTGACAACCTTTGCATTGGATTCCACACAATCATTTTATAAGGATGAACATGAAGGTGCAGGGTGTTCCCCTGAGACACAGAGTGTCACAGATACTCACTAACCACTTGACTGTGATATGGGAAGACAAACTGTGTTATGGGGGTGTAACGATGCTGTTCTGGCGGGACCCAACTGAGAGTGCCAACTCAGGACAAATTGCTCAAATAGGGCAGTTACAGCCCAAGGCTGGGGGTTTTTCGACCTCTAAGGCAAACTAAACCATCCAGACTGAGACTT